AGATGTATCCATGATCCATCACAGCTGATTTAAAGGGCTAAATGACTCCTCAGCATTTCTTGAAGTTCTCCAGAGGCCTGGTAATGAACTAATCATTTGATTCAGGTGTGTTAACCCAGGGTGAGATCTAAAACCTGCAGGACACCGGCACTCGAGGCCTGGAGTTGCCTACCCCTGCTCTAACGCAACACAAACTCACCTCAAAGCTCCACAAAATCTTTTTTCAGATCCAAGCTTAATACTGGCTTTTACAAGCTCATATTTTTATATAAATGTTATTGTGATTTACCTTTCTGACTCACATCAGCTGCTGAAGCAGGGCTGCTTTGTTACAGCAAAACTCATGTTTATCAAAGAATCTGGAAACTTGTGTATTTATGAACTTTACTCATAATTCAGCCGACAAAACTAAAAGAAATGAATCAATGTGAACCGAACGAGAGCTGCCACAGGACAGAGAAGTGCTGAACAGAGAATATGACAACAATATATCAATAATTTATCTCAATTACATCGCTGGAAGCCAAACTTGTTGTTTAAATTAAAATTCTAAACTCAAAGTAACAAAACGTCCAATTTACAGTGAACACCTCATCTGTATCTGACACAGGGCTGAAGATATACCACGGGCCTTGAATGCAGCAGAGCTCTCATCAGGTAAGCACAGCAAGACACCTGGACTGTGTTTAACGTGGCGTCTGTATCGATGCTGCAGGAAGCAGCTTCAACTCTGAAAGGGTCACAACAAACTCAGAAAAGGTTTCAATTTTTTGTTCAACATCAGGAACCAGGAAGAGCAAGTTCTAGTTCTGGGAAGCTCTTCCTCTGAGCAGGAGGAGCCAGTATCAAACAGATGGCTCCAAGTTTCTCAGCTCAGTGAACCGACACAGATCTGCTCACCTCACAGGTTAACATGACGTCGACAAACAGATGCTGCGTTGATGTTATTGATGCTTTTGGACCAACAAAACAGCTTTTTACACCTGTACTCTGAGTGATCTGATTGGTCAGTAGGTGATTTTGTTGATGCCTGGTCTTGAACGCGACTGTCTTCAGCGCAGGTTAGGCCTCGACAGCGAGTTAGCACGACGGTCTCCTGAGAGGCGGGACTTTAGGACTTCTCAGCCTCTGTACGCCGCGCTGATGAGCCGACGCTCTGACGGCAGTTTCTGCAGAAACACTGAAACCTTAATAAATAGACTGTACGATGTGATGGCCGACCTGGTGCAGACATGAACTCCACCTGGTTCCTGTGAGCTGCAGGTAAACACGGTGGACAGGTGAGTGTGCTCTGCAGGTGCTAGCACTGATCATTATTAGGCAGCTTCAGCATAATTCAGATAAAAATTCACTCGCTTGTATTTCCTGTTTTTCATCAGCCTTTCCGTTCGTCCTGTTGGGAATAACTGAGGAAACGAGGAGCGTGCACACTTTCACAGATTGTGGAATGAAATGTTTGAATAAAGGCTTTAAAATGTGATCCTAAAGCAGAGCAGCTGTTTGTACTCGCTGACTTACATGGTATTTGTCATGAACTCAGTTACTTTCCTCTCAGAGTTAAAAGCTGCGTCCTGACATCTGTCAGATCTGATAGTTTAACAGAGTCTCACAGGTGGAGGCAGTTTTTATACTT